GACTGGATATTCACTCACCCTCCCACCTTTTTCCCTCTAGCAGTAACTACTTTCCCCTCCTGAACACAGAAACCAGAGATTCCAGCAAGAAAACAAAATGGAGAGTAGCAGATTTCCATCCCACCTCTCAAGTCCACAGAGTGCCTATTGTTGCCTGCTCAGCAGGAAGCACCAAGAAAATCCCTAGGGAGCAAGCTGCTTTTTCTTTGGTCTGTGATTCTTTAATAATTTAATTATTCTGGAGGGAATGAGAGGCAGCCTGAGCAAGGCAGATGATTTTATCTTCCTTTAGTAGAGTTTCCCAGCTCCAAAAAAGATCTGTCAACTGCTGGGGCCAAAATTTGATTTTTTAATAAAATATATCCCATTATTATTTAAATCAATTAGAAAAAAATATTTGCTTTCTTCTTATTGGTCAAAGCACCCTGTGGGGGTAGCAAGGGATTAAGAGAAACTACCGCCTCAAATTTATTTTCTTTTACAAGGTATTTTCACCAATTCTTCATTTCCTATTAGCAATATTCCCATTTGCAGATAAGATTTCAAAGTTTTAAATTACTTACCTATAGCTACACAGCTACGTTACAAACTAGATTAAATCTTCAAAATTCTTAGTTCAAGGATTGTTCATTAAAGCCAGTTGCAAAGTATGGTGATTGTGTTCATTTGATAAAACATTTACTAAGTACTAACTATGATCAAAGGTATGCTGGTACCACTGATGCAGTTATAACAAAACAGATGTGAAACCTACTCTTGCGAAGGCACAATGAGCTGTAACTTCAAACATACATATGAGTACCTTGAAAGAGCCAAAAGGTCATAGAGTTTGGGGGAGGGGAAGGGCAGTAAGGACCCACGTCTATTTATGAAGTTCAGGACAGGTTTTGAGAGGTAGGTGATGTTTGAATAGGGTTTTGAATATGTACAAATGATCTCCACCTATTTCTTTTATTTTATTATCAAAGAGAAGTCATCCTTTCTGAAACAAGTCCTTCTTTACTAAACTAACAAGTCACAATCATATGCATTTCTTATCTATTCAGTTTGACTTTCCTAATCAAGACAACCCTGAGAACTTGAGACAATTCTTAGGTATAGAAATGATGGTTTCAATGGAAGTGACTGCTTAAGCCAAGGCTTCTTCCAAGATGCTTAAAAATAAGTAGGGGTGCAAAGGAAATAAAGAACAAGTTCTGTATTCTTGACTTTCTTTGCTTTTAGACTGAAGGGGCTGGATGATACAATCTCCTTCAACTTTATGATTATATAGCATGACTAAACAAATACAAACTTTTGCTTAGCAAATATAACTTGTTTTTCCTTATAAATTGTTATAGCATTAAAAGTAGCCATTTTAAGATATACACATTATATACTACAATATACAGTATATAAATATATATATATATACACATACCCTCCTAAAACTTTAGCAGGTAAAGTGAAAAAAAGAGGAGTTTTAAATTCAGATCCCAAATCTATAATTTTCTAGCTATTTATTTAGCTTTTCTTAGCATTAGTCTTCTTATCATTTGTTTCATAGTTTGTAGAGTTTTTGTGAAGATTAAGTGAATCAAATATGAAGAATATATGTTATTTGTTCCTCAATATTTCTTCTCCTCTAGAAGTATTCTGATTTTTTGCTGGTGTTGTCAATGTGACTGTTCTGATCATTGGCAAATGGATGTGACTTCCAAAACGTCTCCCACTTTTTGCCCTTTCCCAACCAGATGGAATGTTGTGGTAAACCAAGTAGTATACCATGGCGAGGACAACATTTTAGGAATGGTTAGAACAACAAGAATTGAGATGCTTAGGTCCCTGACATGTAGAACTGCCAGGTCAACTCTGAACAACTTATATTTTGAACTGTTATATGTAAAAGAAACAATTCTGTCTTGTTTAACCACTATTTTGTAGGTTTCTAAAAGAAAAGAGCTATGTTCTGATTAGAATAATATGCAAGGCTAGTTCAGTACTGAACATATAATATGTGTGGCTTTTCTCCCTGAGAAAGACAAATAGTCATAGTCTTTGCCTTTTTCTCTAATTAGAGCTTACAATTTAGTGAGACAAACTATGAGAAAATAACCAATAAGAGATCAACTATAAACATGTAAAAGAAAGCATGAGCATATTTGATAGGGGTCAAGGTACTACAAGTATAAGCATTTTAAGACCTCATCCAATAGTTCACTAAAGAGCTGTGAATTTGCTATGTTACCTCAAAAGAAGAAAAAAGCCTTTAAAGGTATAAGCAAGATAAAGCCTCGACAGAAGGAACAGTTAAAAATGAGTGAAATTGTGGAATGCTTCAGAGGATGTGACACTTCAAATGGGTCTTGAAAGATGGGAAGAGTTTCAACAAGTAGAAAATGAGAGGGGAAAGAACATTCATTCTAAAAGGCAAAGGCAAAGCACCAGAAGACACTAGGATGCTATATTTAGTGACTGGACTGAGTATTCTATGTATGCAGGTCTAGTGTAGAGAAGTTAAGAGAGATGAGGGTGCCAAGACAGGTTACAGACAAGGTCGCCATGTATGACTGTGCTGTGCTTAAAAAAAAAAACAAACCTTAGTGCACACCACTCACAAAGATTGTGACTGGAAAGGCACCCCCTAAAATTATAGAGTGCATTAATTGCATAAGCAACATACACACTCAATTATGGGCAGACTGTAGTATATACTCAATGCCACTCTAAGAAATTTAGACTTTTAACCTGTTGATGCTTAGGGGTGATGGAAAATCAAGCAGTACGTAGGAATGTTTTACTAAGGTAGAGTAGACATCTCAAGTCCTCAATTCCAAGATGACAAAGAAGGAACAATCATCATGCCAGACAGGGCTGTGGCCCTGCATGATCTGTGCCTGATCTGTACTCAAGAACAAGACCATTAAGAAGTTCATCATCTGAAATGCAGTAAAGGCCGCAATGATCAGGGATACTTCTAAAGTGAGCATCCTCAACAACTGTGTTCTTCCCAGGTTATCCGTAAAGCTACAATACCATGTGAGTTGTGCCATTCACAGCGAGGTGATCAGAAAAATAATTTCATGAAGCCTCAAAGCACCAAACACCCCACTCTGAATTTAGACCTGCTGGTGCTGCCCCACAACCTCTTTCAAAACCCATGGAGGGCACTGAGTCCTTAGGACGAAGAAAAACTATCTTCTCAAAAAATTTTAAAATGGAAATGTATTTAGAAAAAAAGAAAGAAAGAAAGAGAAAGGTAGACTGAATGTCAAAATGGAATACAAACTAGTGAAGGAGACAATGTGGGGACACCTCATAGGAAACTATTGCTGTATTCTGGGTGAAGATGAGGGCTTGAAATAAGAGCAAAAGAAATGAAAGATGAATTGATTCAAGAGACATTTTCAAAACATTTATAGAATTTAGTGGCTAACTGAATATACATAAAAGATAGGAAAAGCAATATTCAGGTACTTGTGATTCTGAATCACAGGAAAGGGGCCTAAGAATCTGCATTTTAATTAGCAAAGTGCCCAAGGTTTGTTGTAGATGGTCCACCAGATGATTTTTCAAAACATTAGGAAATCAGGGGGTTACTGAATTTGATTTTAGACAAAAGTGCTAGAAGAGATGTAATTAATATTGTGAAGGAAAAACCAACTGGGTGATAATACAAGAGGAAATGAAAGCTAAATATGCTTTCCCCTACTCTATTCTTAGTCTGCTTTGAATGTCCTCTGATACTGACATCCTTGGACTGTCATCTAGGCCAAAATACTCTTACCAAGAAAATGCAGGAAAAACATTTTTGATAAGGAAATAATGCTGAGAGAGGTACATGTTACTTATTGTATAACCCTGTATAACATGTACACTTTTTTTGTTCTCCTAAATAGAAACCAAAAAAAAGGGGGTGGTGGTGGATAAAGCCACTTCTTTATCTAGATGCGACAATGAAAACTCAGAAATGCATAAGATATGTTATTTTAGTTTGAGTCGGTTATCATCTGAAAAGAGACTATTAATCAAATAGTAGGAATGTTATCTGGTCTGTTAATCTTTTCACAGTTAAATAACAGGAAAAATAAGTCCCTGGCAAGGGTGTTTGAATGTGTGATTTTACCTAAGTTTCTCTCTTCTACTCTATCAAATTTATGACAATAAAGTTGTAGTACTAATGATTTTTCAAAAGGGTAATAGTTTGTATCTTCTGTAGATGCAAATTTTTCAGTAGTCTAAAAAGTCGTTTCCCACCCCTCCAAAAAAATAAGGCAATAATGTAAGAAATGTTACAAACTGTACAAGAGTCATAAAGGGCAAAGTCAATTCTGAAACAGTAGCTAAAACTTTATGAGTTAGCAGAATAGATGCCCCTTCAGCATCCCAAAGTCATTTACTATATCATAAAAAAATGAAGGCAGAGCTCTTCTATAAAAAGAGAGTGAAATTTCAGGAGACAGAGGATTTTCCACAAGAGCCTGCTTTCTTTTTAAATCACAGTTTAAAATTGCTGAGCAGTCATTTAGCCTTGAGAATATTACCAGTGATAAATAGGAACAACAAAGGCCTCAATTATAAAGCTGCACTCTGTGCTCTTAACCACTGGCATAGCTCTTTCATACCTCTGCTTTTAATTTCCCTGAGGACACCTACAGGCTGTGTTGGGCAAATGTTTGCAAGTCACAACTTGTTTTATTAGAAGTAATTGTGAGAATTCCAATGAGAAAATAAATAAGGCTTCAAAGAGTTCCACATCTTCATTTCCAGTCATTCCCATGATATTTAACATATGACTTTAAATGTATAACGTAAATTTAAAACTAGACCCAAGATGTTTATAATATGAACACCGCACTCACTCCAACTGCTGAATATTCCCAAAGATAGGACCCCAAAATCCCTGAGTAAACTGGCAATCTTTCAAATCTTCATCTGTGCCAAACATTCTACCCCTTTATAGGACCACACCTGTTTTTCTTAAATACGAAAATTGAGATCTAGTAAATTCTAGCACTTACTGTACCATCCTACTGTAGGGAAGCAAGAGTTGACTAAAATTTTTGATTTGCTGTTTTACTTCCTTGTCTCTGAAAAATATTTTTAAAGATGTCATTAAAAAAAGATTACAAACTTAATTTTTAAGTAGACTACATTTTGTATGAAATGAATTAATTTCTCTATGACAACCTGTAGTTTACAGTATATATTTTGGATGAAAGTGTATGAGTCACTTACTCTTTCCATGGACCTCAGTTCACCTTTCCCAGTTTAGAGTGTTTGCGGTAGAGTCATACTGCAGGGTACTAGTTTCTAGGTAGATAGTACATTCGACTCATCTAGGGTAGTTTTAAAAATAGATCAACAAACCCTGCCCAAGACTTCTTAGATAATTTTGTGTGTGGGGGGGTGGATATGTGAGACATTTAAAATCACTGTCATAAAGGGTAAAGTCATAGCTGGTCAAGCACTGGAAAACACTATAGATAGAAACCAAGGCAGGAAAATAGGTTTTCACAGAGTGCGTTCCCCCCACACCAATCTGCTTTTTGACTTATTCCAGAATATAGAATATGGAAACAAAAATAGCATCTACTAAGTAGAAGATTTTCTCTTTAAAAAAAGAGATATTTTGATACTTTGGCATATGGCCCAGAATGACAGCACTTTATTGATCTTGGTTCTATGAAACTCCCATAATTCATCAAAGTATACCACAAATGTTTTCACTATTAATGGCACTCTTGTGGAGAATTTTGAATGTAAGTTACAGCCCTTCTCCAACTAAGGAGCAATGACCCTTTTAACTTGATGTTTCCCCTACCAGTGCTTAACTATTCTAATTCCATTTAAATTCTTAAGTATCTATAGATGATTGAGACAGATCCCAAATACGTGTCTTCAAAATCCAAAGTTTTCCATTTGAATACAAAGTATCCCAACATTGAACGGGGTGGTTCTCTATTTTTTCAAGGGAACTACTAGGGACAGGTATAGAAACTGACACCCATATGCCAGGTACTTTACATAAACCAATTCATTTTTAATCTTCCCTCTAGAGGATAATATATTGTCTTCCCTTCACAGAGGAGGAAACTGACCTTGATTTGAAAGGGTAAATAAATTGCTTAAGGTCACAGAACTAGAAAATGGAAAGATCCAGGTCTCTTCGATATGAAAGCACAATCTTTAGTTCTTTTGCCCCAATTTAGTTTTTATTTTTTATCGAAGCTATATATACACATTTTAATGATTGAATTAGTTCTATAAGGCTTAAGAAAAACAACAGTTCTCCACTTTCCTCTCTCATTTCCTGCTTCACTTTGGCAACAACTCTGTTGGCTGATTCTTTTTTTGTATTTACCTCCGTACCTCTAAATAATATGCAATATTGTCACTATTGATTTTTCAGTTTTGCTTGTATTCCTGCTATGCAAAATAACAATTCAGTTGTCTTTAAACACCCACTCCTCTCTATTTTCCTCATTTTTCCAACATAGTTACATCTTATTTTTTGTTGGATTAGGAGCTTTTACATACCGTACTTTCTTCTTATTATTTAATATTATTCACACTGAGCCATGTATTTTGTAGCTGCTTTTCCTTTCCTGAAAACTTTTTCCCTGAAAAAAAATTTGTTGGCTTTACTTCCTACTATCACAAATACAGCTCCTCAATATATTTAGACGCTTCAGGTATTTTATCAATTTCATCTTCTTATTTATTTATTTTTATTATTGTTTTACTGGGAGTATACTATGACATTTACAAAAGTTCTTACAATATATCATAGTTGAATTCACCCCTCCATCATTCTCCTTTATCCCCCCATCTTATTAGAGAAACTTCCCTGAGCTTTCTGACTTCCTAGATTGGTTGCTCTTTATGTCTAATGGAAAGCCCTCATCTTGGGACTTTACCTTGAATTTGGCAAATCCCCTTGCCCATCTCTTTCTCTAACTGAATATACTTTCAGTATTCCAACTTCTTTTCTTGTTTTACATCTCCATTTGCTGATCCAAATCTTCACCAGCTTCTTGAAAAAGAGTGCTTGGGAAGTAAAAATTTTGAATCCCTGGCTGAGCATGGTGGTTCACACTGTAATTCCAACTACTTGGAAAGTGAAGACCCAGGACCACAGTTCAGCTTGAGGCCAGCCTGTGCAAAAAGTTAGTAAGACCCTGTATCAACCAGTAAAGCTGGGTGTCCTACTGCACGTCTGTTATCCCAGCTATGAGGGAGGTATAAAATGAGGTTTTGTCCTCATTTTTCATTTTGTCCTATATTTCATTTTGTCCAGGCCAGCCTGGGAAAAACTGTGAGACCCTATTTGAAAAATAACTAAACCAAAAGGGTTGGGGTTGCAGGTCAACTGGTAGAGTGTCCACTTAGCAGGTACAAGGCCCTGAGTTCAAATCCTATTACCATCTAAAAAATTTCTTTTGGAAGCCTACATAACTGAAAATATCTCTACTCTCAGACTGACTGACAAGTTTGACCAGATTAAGAGTAACAGGCTGATACTGGAGGTATGGCTCAAATGGTAGAGCACCTGCTTTGTAAGCCAGAAGCCCTGGAGTCAAACCCCAGTCCCATCCAAAAAAAAAAAGGGAAAAAAAATAGGATAAGTACTATATCAGGTATCAAAATGGGTTTGGACTTCATCAGAACCAATGGGATTTTTTTTTGTCTCCAGTATTACTGAATTTATATTCATTACAATGGGTGCTTGCTAAGCCCTTTCAATCTAGAAATTCATCCTTCAGTTCTTAGAAATTTTCTTGAAATTCCTTTTTCCAGGCAATTTCCTTCTTTCTCCATTCCTTTCTGGGAGTCCTAGTATCTAGATGTAGAATCTGCTGGACTGGTACTCTTAATTCTCCCTATACCGCCTATCTTCTTTTCTCTTTGAGACAGTCTGGCTATGAAGCCCAGGCTGAACTTGAACTCATGACCCTCCTGCCTCAGCCTCCCATCTGCCTACCCTTTTAACATGAACTTCTCTTGTTTCATAGATACAAAATCTTAAGCCTGTTGTCTTTGGAGCCAGTACTATGCTGCCAGATGATAGTCAACCAATCCTGGATAAAGAAAGTAAAAATCGAGGTAAGAAGTGTTGCTTTAGTGGTGGTACACACGTGTAATCCCAGTTACTTGGGAGTTAGAGGCAGGAGGATTGCCAATTTAAGAGCAGCATAAGCAAAGTTAGAAAGACCCTATGTCCAAAACAAAATACAAACAAAAGGGTTATGGCTCAAGTGGTCGAGCAGTTGCCTAGCTTGCATGATGCCCTGAATTCAATCCATGGTATTACAAAAAAAAAAAACAAAAACACAAAAGTGGTGTTGTTTCAGTAGCTCCAGTGAGACTGGGAATATATATATCATACAAGTTTTTAACCAATGTTCTACTTCAGTTAGCCCAGTTCTATCAGAATAGTTGAACTTTGACCAATTATACGTATTGGTATTGACAAGCTTGAAGGTAAGATTTCTACGATTTCCCCTCAGTGGGGTGATTTGTAATTCTTTAAGGCTTACTTTTTTGACAAGTAAGAAACAAGTATGATCTGGGAACTGAGGAAAGCCCCTCTGCTGGATTTCCCCTACTGCTGAGCCTATTCTACTTCTGGGTAAATGTTCTGCTAGGATTCACACTTGTGGTGAAAGGCCAATTCAAATCCAAAGTAGTTTCAGAGTGGAGAAAAGAAATCAACGTGAATATCTGCTACCCCTTCCATCTTGCCCTAGAAAAGAAAGCCATCAGCCTTTCCGATCCCCTCAAGGCATGAATAATGAGTTCACAGTCTATCTCAGGAAAGTTGCCACCTTATTAGAGGAAGAGGTGAATAAATGTGAGAACTTTTATCTTTTCTGTATCTTAACTCTTCTCACAAAATGTATCAGGAACGAAAAGCAAAAAATTAGTCAACAGCATACCACATACACATAAATAAGATATCCTCTGTCTTGAGAAGTTAAGGCGACCTTAACTTCAAAGACAAACTAAGTGTATTTTCCTTACTTGAGGAAACAAAATGGGAGAGAACTGTCATTCCTAACATTTATAATCACTTTCAAGTGTTATATAACACAAGCAGCCAATTCCTCAAATGTCTTTAGTCTTACCTTTCAGATTATAAATTTTGGTTAAGGATATACCCATAGCACATTGCACTAAACTGCTTCTGCATTCCAATAAGCAGCTGATAAAACAGAAACTTAAATTCGTAGATCTAGCATTAGATTTTACAGTTTTTCCAAAAGCTGATTGGCTAAATTTATCAGGGATAAACAAAGTAAGACAATACCACTCACCATGCCCAAAGTTCTCCATTTTTCTGGATGTAAGAACTTGGTGAAAATTTTGATCCTATTTCCCAAGAGCTAAAATATTTCACAAAGACCACACCCACAATTCTTAGCTTTGCCCCACTTCCTTATTTTCTCCATAGTATAGGCTTAACCTCAAGGATGCATTCTAAAAAATGTGTCATTAGGTGATTTTGTTACTGTACAAACATTATAAAGTATACTTATACAAACCTAGATGGTGTAGACTACTACACATCTAGACTGTAAGCTGTAGCTACTATAGTATGTGTCTGGGCTAAGTATTTATAAAAGTTAGTAATTCTAACAAAGATTACTTAAGACTATTTATCTATGCATTACCAATAAACCATTAGTGTAAAAGGGTAGACTTTTGTTGGCTTGTATTCCTTAAAAGTCAGCCTACTCCATGCACACATATTCTGAACTGACCTAATACTTCTCACTTTATATTAAATAAGTATAAGCATGTGTATTTTCTCACCTACTCATTTTGAAACCCCCTGTGGGATCTGGCTACAGTAAAATGTCAGCTTGGTTATTACCTTTAAAGTAAGAAATTTTCTAGCAAAATTGGGAAACTGGTGACAACAAAGTGAAACTGACAGCTTATTTCAGTGTATAGAAGAACTTAATCCAGGTAGAAGCAACACCCTTTCTCAATAATATAATCAGAAAAGAGGAAAGAAATAACAATGCATTTTACTTACCAGCCTCAGCCTACCTACAGCATTTTTCCTTGACAATGAAAAAAGAGTTGTATGTATGTGTATGTGTGGTAAAGCAGGATCAGTAAAGCAGTTCTTTGCTCTTGATAATACTGGAATCTTTTCATTTATTTGGATTTACTCTAAGGAGTGTTTTGCATAAATTCCGAACCATTTTTCTGAATATTACTGATGTCCTAAGAACATCAGTAGTACTCTCTGACCCATGTGGTTTCATGAGTGAATTCTTTTACATCTTCAAAGAACAGAGTTTTCATGCCACTTAAACTACTTTAGAGCAGAGAAAGAAGGAACTCTTCCCAATTCTTTTTTAGGAAACCAGC